TTTACTTCATATGCTAAATATGATTTTTTTAGTAAAATAAGTTCAGATTTAACTTTAACTCATAAAAACTTTTTTTTAGATTTCCCCCCTTACTATTGACAAGCTCCCATATATTAAAAGGAGGTTAAGAATATCAATTAATATTAAAGTCATCACTAATATTACTAATATACATTATTTAAATTAATAATAGTAATACCAAATCTAAAGATTATATTAATTATAAATTTTTAAATAATAAAGTTTTATCAAGTTTAATTAATATTAATAATATATTACAAATAAAAAATACTAAAATTAAATTACTCTAATCTAAATAGACCGTTTGTATCGGTATAACATAAAATGTTATTTTTAATTTAAACTAACTAATATTTAATTCCTTAAGCAAATTAAAGAATTGATTGTATTTAAATGTCATAATTAAGATGAAAGATAATATAAAAATCAAATCTTATTCGACGACGTTAAGAAATACCGTACAGTTTTTAAATTTTATTAAAAAAAAAATATATAATATATATATATATATTGTATATATAAAATTTAGTATATCTGTAGTAAAAAAAAAAATTGTGTAATGTTCCTAAACAGGGAAGAATTTATTTTTATTAAAGGTGAAAAAAATTTTTTGGCGAATTGTTTGATCGCCATTGTGATATTGATAACAAAAAAAGATTCACACGAAAAAGGTGGTAACCTACCCCAGGTTATCTTGACCCATGTATAAATAAAAAAATTTTAAAGTACCCATCACATATTATTTCAATAATTGGGTCTAATATAATGAACAAGAACAAATCATGATTTTCATGTTTCATGGAACTTTTGCAAATTTTTAATTCAGGATTTCTGGACGAGATTCAAAACATTTGAATTTTTTAATTATAACTGCGAAATTTCAGAAGCATAACTTTACTTAATTCTACTCAAGGTTACTTGATTAAAATAGATATAGTTTTTTAATTAAGTTTTATTAAAAAAAGTGAAAAGGGAGAAAAATTCGGATTTTTTATAAAGGTTTATCTTTTTTTCCATTCCCTGTTTATAAAGTAAAAATGTTCATTTCAAAACAAAAAAAAAAAACTTAATGTGTAAATCTTAAAAAAAATAAGAGTATTTCCGTCATAAAATAAAAATCTTAATTATCTAAATAGTCTAAACTTTCTACAATTTTTTTTTTTAACTTAAGACATTTCTTTAAAAAATCTATATATATATATATATAAGAATAAAAACGTGAAAAAAAATTTTTTTGATTTTTTTTCTTCGTCCTAAACCTTTACATTCTCCATTTCGATAAAAATGCTCTCCTTAAAACTTAAAGGTTATTATTGCTATTATTATTCTCATTTGAATCACCATCTGTTTTAACAATTTTGGAATATTTTTGAATGGCATTTCGGGTGAATAGGCTCGACATAGACATGGTAATCGATTTATAATTATTACCAAATTCCAATTTAAAAATCATATTAGGAAATACTTTTTCTAAATATTTTTTAATATCTTCATAAAAATGATTAACAATACAATAACCATTTAAACTAAATTCAATCAATTTAGCGCCATTACCGCCATGATTACTACAACGTCCGGGACAATTATGTGCACCTGCAGCCGAGCAGTTTGAACATACTTGTGGTGGTTTTATCAAAATGCACTCCAATAGGGAGCCATCGCGAAAGAAAGTAATCGAAATACGATCAATTAATTTTGCGATGGCGGTACACAACAAGTCTTCGATGGAATAAGCAAATTCATCTAACAAAGCACCACCAGTTTCTTGCGCTATTGTCAAGGGGGAAGTAAATGGGATGCCGAAATAAGAGAATTCTTGTTCTAATTCGGGCAAAGAAACATAAGGAGGGAATATTGGAGGAGCCGACTTGGAATTAGAATGAGAGCAACAATGACGATGATGATGTAACACGTGATAATGATTATTTGAGGTGGTAGGTTTATCTGATGTGGTGGGGGAAATAGGAGGAGTCGAGTTATTAGTTAAGTTATTATTTATTATAACTCCTTTTGAAATGATTCCGTTATTAGATCCATTAACACCATTAGAGGTAGACGATAAAATTCCGTTCGTTGTCAAAGATAAAGCTGCCAAAGCAGCACCAGTAGGCACGGTAGCATTGTTTAAATCGGTATGAGTACTAATACTAGTATTGTTGTTATTAGAAGTCGAACTAGTAGAAGAAACGGTCGTTGTGGAAGAATTTGAACTTTTTAACGAAGCAGAATTCCCAATAGGTAATTCAAAAGAAGGACGCCAAACTATATTGCCGGTACGATAATATTCCATTACATAATGAAAAATGTATCCGTTTCTATCAATAAAATATTCATTTCCATTCGTTGGATGTAGCATTGCTCGATTACGTGGGTGAAACATTGTACCCAAGAGAGTCTTTGGGTAGGCCGTTAACGTAGAACGATAAGTTTCATACTGAAAAGTCCAAAAGAGAAAAGATTCACCGAGGAGAAGAGAGGGTTAATAGGTTGACTTTGAAGGGGATAAGGTTAGGTTAAAGAAAGGAGAGGAATTTTTTTTATCTTACCTTAATACCACCCACATTAAGAATGATCCGTTCATCAATGAATTGGTCAAGTTCGGAAATCGGGCCGTTAACGGATTCATACTTTGCACCTTCCTTTCTTGATTCATGCACCGTTTTTTGTTTATTCTTTTCTCCCATGTCTATATACTACAGTTTTTTTTTTGTGTTATATGTGCGTATATATAAAAAAGAAAAAAAAAATCTACAAAAACAAAAAAAATTAAGTACAAAAAAAAAAATAATAATAAAAATAAAATAAAAACAAAAAGAAAAGAAAAACAAAACAAAATAAATCTACAAATTATATTCCCCCAAAAAATACCAAACCTATTATATATATGTAAATGATAAAATAACTCTAAGGATAAAATTTGTCTATAATAATAATAATGTGTGTATAATAAATATATAATAATAAAAAAAAATAAAATAAAAATAAAAATGTGATAAAAATATTTAAAGAGAAGGGAAAATCGTATGAAAAAAACAAGCGCTTTTAAATGTAATTTTTAGTTTCTTTTGAAAAAAAAAAAAAAAAAATTATACATATATATTTTTTTTTTCCTATTTCAATTAATAATAATTGTTTTTATTATTTAATTAGTTTCCGATTTAATTAATCTATGTACCAATAGTTTAGTTTATCAGAGAAAATAAATAAATAAAACGTGTTTAAACTTGTTTAATTAATGTTTGTGTAAATCACATTTCCGTTTTAATGTGACACTCTATTAACCTTAATGTAGTTTAGAAATCATATATTCGGTAAACAAAAAAGAGCTAGATGGACTTGCGTAAAATTGAAATAGTTTTTGCAAGGAGAAAAATAAAAAGGTGCTTATGTCATTTCATGGTTAGTTCTCGTAGAACTACTGATTTTGTGATTTTCAGTTCAAACCTTGTAAACAAAGCGTCAACCGATTTCATTTTAATTGGTTCATTCCTGACGATTTGTTGGCGGTTATAAACAAAACAAGGTGCATCCTTTGATAAAAATGATAAATTCTTGTTTAACTTCAAAGGTAAGGAACCAGGATTAAATCAACAGGTGAATCATCGTTTTACAAGATCGATAAATAGAATAAAAAGATGTGGTTCATTTTTCACTCTTTCATGCATTACTTCATTAGTAATTCATTCACCCATTAAGAAGTGGAGGAACACCCGAATATACAATTTAATACCTTATCATTATAAATTTCTTTTTATTTTTTTTTTTTTGATGATTTTCAATATTTACCAATCACTACCAAAAACCTGGATTTTAATCTAAAAGATTTAATTGGTTCTCCTATTAAACATATCAATGATCGGAAATCGCAAGTTCACTTTTTAAAAGATTAGGTTTATTACATTATTTATACATTAAAAAGTTATCATAGATGTTTAATCATGTGGATTTTATGTTACATGGAAAGCTCTTATCTTGAAAAAAAAAAATTCTATAACTATCGCTCGACCTTATAAACAAATATATATATATATATGTATATCGTGTTACCAAATATTTTTCATTTCGGAATTCAACTTTCCGAATATATTAGATGAAGGAAAAAAATAAATTATTTGAAGTTCGAAACATCTCGGCAAAAAGGCCCGAACCGGTTCTTTTTATTATCCTTTCATTAACAAAGATTCGAATGACATTTCGAAGAAAAAGATAAATTTCTTTTTTCTTTCTTTCTTTTATTTTCCTGTAAATTTATGTATAATGCACGATAAAATGTTAAAATTTCATGTATTTGTTTTTTTTGTGTTATTAAAACATTCGATGAATGATAACCACGTTAGATTACGTATTAAACCTTAAATTCCAACTACATAACATTTTCGAAATTCAAGTTCCACAGCAACAAAAAGACCCTGTTACACGGACACCGCATTTATGCATGTGATTTATTTGATTTCCATTAAACCGATTAAATTAATTATGTACTCGGGGATGAGTTCGGACATGCTTTTCGAATGTATACCGTGGAACGATTCTTTTTTTAATTGCAACCCTTTTTTTTGTTCAAATTTTACGACAAATCCATCCAAGGAATTTCGAATTGCCAGTATTTTTTTTTTTTTTTTTTTTTTTTTTTGAAAAAATCGGATCCAAAATTATTTTCATCGAGAAAATTTGAAAATAAAATAGTAATTTTTAATTATTCCAATCACGTTAATTTTTTTTAAGAATTTCTTGGCCAAAAAGAAAAACTTAACAGTTACATAATTTAGAAAAATTATAAATTTTAAAGTATTCCGGGTGAATGAAGTTGAACAGAGTTTTCTATTTCCAATTTTCCATCATATACTTCCAACTTATTAGTCCACTTAACGTACAAAAACATTTTAACAAAAGAACAATAATCCCCTCAATATTTCCCAATATTTAAATTAAATTTGACACGTAAACTCCTCTCTTTTCCAACTATCCCACATCTTTAAGGAAAAAAAAATCGAAATCAACTTTGGATTCTTGAGAATCTAAAAAGAAATATCAACGGATTAGGTTTTAAAAAAAAATTATAAAAATTTTAAAAAATATTTTCACAATAAACTTACGACTTATTCCCATAAAGAACAAAGATAAAAATATTTTCCGAAACAAAAGGTTTTTTTTTTGAGTGAACCTTTTTGTTATTTAAAACAAATTATAATTTATTTAATATGTATGATGAAAATAAATTTGTTTTTAATCCTTTATTTTTTATTTTTATCTTTATTTTTATTTAGAAAGAAAAAGAAGTGAGATTAGTAATGTTTAATAATTAAAATCATCATTCTTCAACATTAATATTTAATCTTACCAAAGAGAAGGAAAAAAAAGAATACGATATTAATCTTTAAGTAGTTAAAATCAGTCAAACACGTTCTGAATGTTCAACATTAACTCAAAGATGATATCTTTTGACTCTTGTGGGGCAGGAAGGGCCCGCACAATCGTCGCAAGGATGGCGGGAACAAGAACCACCAAGATGAAGCTTGAAAATTACTGTTTTTGGGTGGTGAAGAAAAAATGTCTAAATTTGTGATTTCATGGAATTTATAATTTTTTTTTTCTGTCGGATTTTTTTATGGAACCTTTTTTTTTCATTCTCATTTTTCTAAGCCTGCGCCTCATTATTTTTATTAGAAGCCTCATTAACCCAGAAAATGATTTAAGTTGAACTTTTTTTTTTATATTACCCTCCTATCAAAAAGAGTTGGCTTGTAAGTTACAAATTTGGACGTTGATTTGTTTGATTTATTTGGCTGAGACTTGGTGATACGATAACAAGGAAAACAAAAGTCTTGATTTGGTCCCGATCAACTTTATCATTTGGGCTTACCTTGACTTGAAAGAAAATATAAAATGGATAAATGAAATTAGAATGAGGCTTTGAAAATTTTTCGAAGGCTGTGGAAAGAAAACCCAACAGATCATTCCACGTTTATTTTTTATGAGGGATTTTTTTAGATTTATTGGCTGAGATATTAATATAATCAAGATTCATGCTATTTATGGCTTAGTCAATGGCTGAGACGATTCGCTAAAAGGAAATCGAATAATTTTTTTTTTCTTTTAGAAGATTTCATGGTTGTTCTTGAAGGCTTATAAAAAAAAAAAAATATCTATTGAATTAATAAACCCTTTGGCTGGTGTAAAAAAAAGGAAATTGTCATTGAAATATGGCTAGGATGGGGCGTGACAAGGCTGGTGGAATATGGCTGAGACCTTTTTTTTTAAAAGGCAACAAAGAAAAAATAAGAAATAAGGAAATCAATTTTTTTTTTAAATTAATTTCCAAAAAAAAAAAAAAAAGAAAAAAAATTTTTTTTTTTGAGGCTTGGTATGATCTTTTTTAAAATATAAAAATAAATAAATAAACAAAATTTGAAACGTGATTGAAAATCTATCACCAAAATTGTAAGGGGTTTCAGGGCTTGGAAGCCGTGGCGAAGTCGATAGAAAAAAAAAAGCGAGAAAAAGGATCTATATTTTTTCACCAAAAAAAAAGTCCGTTCCGTTTAATATAACCGACGTTGGTAAAGATCTGAAATTGTCAACAAATAAATCAAGTTTTGTTCATATCGGACCTTTACTCCTCATAATGTAATAATCCGTTAAACGGCTATTTACTTTAACACTCAAAGCCGCTTATGTAAAAAGAAAAAAAAGGCTTAGTCGTGATTGAACATAGCTGTTATGACATTTCCGAAGTAAAAAGCGAATTCAGGAGGTGAATAACTGAATATTAATTAAGCGAAAGAGGCTTAGGGACAATGAATTATTATTCATCGTCTCAACGAGTTTCATACAATTCATTTTTTTTAAAAGAAATGCCCGTGAAGAACTCGCTCAGCCCGGTATGACAAGCCATCAAATGATGCACGTCAAACATTTCAAAGCCAATCGAATATTTAAAATCTCCCGTGAACAAAAAGATATACACATTTTCTACATACTTAATTTCGTTTTTTTCGTGGTTAAGGTTTGATTTTCTTGGTGGCTTTAAACTTTTTTCTCCCCTCAAATTGCGTGTGATCGACAATCTTTAAGTGAGGCGCAGTTATGAATGAATGCCTTAAAATGGTATATCAATGTTAAATAAAACACAAGTTTAAGGGTAACTCTCATTTCAGAGATCACGTTTGAATATATGAAATGTACAATCTTTATATGGAAAACAAAATTCTCACGCAAAATCGATGCAATTATTAGATTTAATAATTAAAAGTGTCTAACTATAAGCATATACTTGATCAAAGAAGAGAAAAAAAAACGGGAAAAACTTATTCCTCAACCGGGATTACATGTAGAGAGATTTCACTTGCGAATTGAGCAGACATCAAAACTATTTTAGGGATAAACTGATAGTTATTTATCCGAAGTCTTCCCGTCTCTACGGAAAAAAAAAATTGCAAAATTTCTGCGCCTCAGATGCGCGTCAAGCTTAAAATTTCATAAAGTAAATTTGTATATTTTGCTATTATTAGAATTTTCAATTTCTTTTTCAAAAGCATAGCCAACGTTTTTTTTACAAAAAAAAAATATCTTTTGATCTAAATAATTACTCGAAGCCTTTGGGAAGCCTTTGGAAAGAGCAAGCCATCACTTAAGACCTTTTCATTCCAGCAAGATTATTTAGTGCTTGCATTATTCAACTGGA